CTCCTTTAACTATTATCCTAATCTTGAAATATTCTTAGTTTTCAAGTGTATAGGATTGTTCTGTACCAAGAATGTGTTTTGTTCCATTAGAACTGAAAAAGGAAGACATCTATGCAGTAGAGATAGTGGGTGGAGCTTCCAGGATCCCGGCTGTCAAAGAGAGAATCAGCAAATTCTTCGGGAAGGAGTTAAGCACCACACTGAATGCTGACGAAGCTGTGGCCAGAGGATGTGCTCTGCAGGTTTGTCTTTTTTTTTTTTTTTTTAAATCTCCTTCAAGGACCTGTTACTGTATTTAAAAGAATGTGACCAGGAGGATTTTAGATTAAAGTATTTCTATAATGAGTTGTCATTGAAACACTGGTTGTGTCTTCACAGTGTGCGATCCTGTCACCTGCCTTCAAAGTGCGTGAATTCTCCATCACAGACGTTGCTCCCTATCCCATCTCCTTGAAGTGGCATTCTGCTGCAGAGGAAGGGTTGAGGTAAATGTTTTTTTATTTATATATTTCTTGACTTCTCTCTGGTCTTGATTAATGAATCTGATAATAACTATGAAACATTTTCTTGTTCCAGTGATTGTGAGGTATTTCCCAGGAACCACGCAGCACCTTTCTCCAAAGTGCTGACCTTCTACAGGAAAGAGCCTTTTTCTTTGGAGGCCTACTACAACAGCCCCAATGAGCTGCCCTACCCTGATCCCACTATTGGTAAGCAACTGATATTTAGTCAGGATAAGAATGATCGGGATTGGAAAAAAGCTGTCTTTTGCTACCCTGGATCAGCTATTCATTCGTACTATTGTGGCTTTTTTATTGACAGGAACATTGGATATACTCAGCCTGATCAGGATAAACATTTTGAGACTAAAAATAATCTGTATAACTGTAGTCTGAAAGGGAATACATATCACTTATCTCAATATAAACCTAACTGTCTGTGGTAGATCTCTTTTTAAACCGTTCTGACCCAAATGGAAAAATAATATCAACAAACGAAATGTATTATTTAAAATCTGCTAAACTAACCCAGGACAAGCGGTGATAGAATCTGACCAGATGGATTTAGTAAAAACAATCAAAAGCGCACTGGTCCTTCTCTGGCTCATGGGCCATTGGCTCTTTATAGAGGCATGACGTTCACTTATATGTAATATGTTATTAAATAGTTTAAACATACTTCTGCCTTTGTGATCAATAAAATGTCAAATTAAAGATGTTTTGTCTATGACAGATTTGGTGGCTTATTTAATGGGCACCAAATCCTTGTATCCATGTCTCTGAAACAGTTTAGCAACTCTAGTACAAAGTTTAAAAGACTGTTGAGAGTATTTACTACATGATTCAACTGCTTTACTGTTTGACCAACTGAAAACAACATGTTGATTTTTGTTCCTGGAATTTGCACCCTTTGGCTTTTTTTATTTTATTTTATTAAACCAAAGGTATCCCGATCCTGCTCAAAAGTTTGGATTGACACATACCGTAGGTTTAATCCAGGTCAAAACTAAAACTTTACACATGCTCTTTTTTTCTTTGTACAACCTTTTTGTTCAGTTTGATATGTTCTGATAGCTTTAATCAGATTACATTTCTTTGGGGAAAAAACTGGGCCCAGGGGTTTACTTGCACATCCAGCAGATTAACAGTCATAGTGTCCACTCATGCTTCTTTCCAATAATAACTCTCCTTCAGCCTTTGTATGGCCTACAAACTCCTGAGAATATCCTGGTTGATCAACGCCAAGACATTACCACACATGCTGACACTAATTGCATCAGGAGAGGCCTTTTCCCTACTGAATCGTGGTCATAACTCATTCCCCTGTCCTCCTTACAGGTCAGTTTATGATCCAGAAGGTTGTCCCACAGGCATCTGGTGAGAGCTCCAAGGTGAAAGTCAAGGTGCGAGTGAACATCCACGGCATCTTCAGCGTGTCCAGCGCCTCCCTGGTTGAAGTGCAGAAGTCGGATGAGTCAGAGGAGCCCATGGAAACAGAGCAGGCCAACGAGAAGGAGGGAGAGGTGAAACAAAACGTTATTTCATCATAAATTGTCCTTTTATAGTGAACATAAGATCAGTTTGTGTTCTGCTATTTCCACTGCAATTTTGAGACCAAAAAGTTATTCATAACTCTCGTTCAGAGCAAGATGCAGACTGATCAGGACGAGCAGCAGGGTCAGGGAGATGCTCAGAAAGAAACAGAAGAGAAGACGCCCCGTGAGAATGAAGAGATGGAGGTGAGATGCTCAATTTTGTGTTACACAAATGCAAAACTACCAGTTTATTGGGTCTGTCTTTAAATGACAGAACAGATATTTAACTTTTGTTGTAAATTCTTATTCTCTTACCTCTCAGACTACCCCAGAGGAAGGCAAAGGCGAGAAGAAGAATGACCAGCCCCCACAGGCCAAAAAGCCCAAAGTCAAAACAAAAGTGTTGGAGCTTCCCATTGAAAACAGTCCACAGTGGCAGCTAGCAGAAGACATGCTCAACCTTTTTGTAGAGAATGAGGTAACTAAACTTCCAGCCATGACACAAACATCTATCACTTCATTCACACATCTGTCATTTTTGAATTACTTGGATCTATTTTGAAGTGTTGAGTGGTTACAGTTGCTGTTTGGCTTCTTCTCAGGGTAAGATGATCATGCAGGACAAGCTGGAGAAGGAGAGGAATGATGCTAAGAATTATGTAGAGGAGTACGTGTACGACATGAGGGACAAACTGCATGGGATGCTGGAGAAGTTTGTCAGTGAAACTGTAAGTAAAAACGTTACCTCTGATGCTCTTCTCTCATCCCTTTACAACAGATTTTGCAGTCCTGTTGAGACTATTTTTTATTTGTAGGACAGAGACGCTTTGTCATTAAAACTGGAGGACACTGAGAACTGGCTGTATGAAGATGGAGAGGACCAATCCAAACAAGTGTACATTGACAAACTGGCAGAGTTAAAGGTATTATTTTCAAAAGAAGTACTTTTTTTTTCATAGAGTACCTGATACATATTTCTTAACGAACATTTATACTATTTCTCCTTTTAGAAACTTGGCCAGCCCATTCAGGACAGGTACACAGAGGCTGAGGAGAGACCTAAAGCATTTGAGGAAATGGGAAAACAGATCCAGCAGTACATGAAATTTGTTGAGGCATACAAAATGAAGGTAACACTAAAGGCCTTTTAAATGTGATTATTTTTTTTAAATCTCCCTACAACAGCATTTACTTGACATAAAACATTTTACTGTATATCCCTCAAAATCTGTTACCTTAATACGAGGTGATTGAATGAATCAGTAACAGTGCTCCTGATATTCCCCTTTGATATTACAGGAGGAGCAGTACGATCATCTAGATGAGGCCGATGTCACCAAAGTGGACAAACTGACCAACGACGCAATGATCTGGATGAACAGCGCCATGAACCAGCAAAGCAAAGAGAGCTTGGCGTTGGATCCCTCTGTCAAAATAAAAGACATTCAAGCAAAAACAAGGGTAAGTGTTTTCTCATTCAAACAAAATATTATCAAATACCTGAAAAAGTAAATGCAGAATGGGTTAGGACAACAAATAAATGTAGTAAACAAATGACACAGGAACCGTGATGAATTGAAGTTAAAAAATGACATTATGGGGATTTTGGGTCTTGAAATCTTCAAACCATATAGGCTGCCAAATCATTTATTAATGAAATGACTTGATTATTCTTGTAGCAAAAAAAAATATCTACATTTTTTTCTTCACAAATGTTTCCATTGACACACAGAACACTGAGTTCTCTTGTCCAAAATTGTTACTGTTGTGTATTTTTCAAATGTTACTGAGCCAGACAGCTTTATAAACTGAAAACCATTATTACATGTTGTTTTTCTTTTGTGTAACTTTCTAGGAGCTGTTCTCCACTTGTAACCCTGTTGTGACCAAACCCAAGCCCAAGGTTGAGCTGCCCAAGGAAGACACACCTGCAGAGCAAAACGGACCTGTCAATGGTCAGGAGAAACCCCAGGAAGAAACTGCAGACAAGGGAACAACTGAGAACACAAGCAACCCCAGCTCAGAATCCACAGAAAACAAGCCTGGAATGGACCTTGATTAAAGCAGCCTCTTAAATGCCTCCCTGAGCAAAGCTTAATGGGTGCTGGTTGCTTGAGAATGAGGGTGCAGCCTGGGTGTATATCAGAGCAGGTAAAGTGTTTCAGGAACTGCACTCCACAGTCAAAAGCAGGCAGTGTGATTAGCACACTGAGCCCAGCTCCTGATCTCTCTGATGACATAGCATGCCCTCAATCTTTTCTGGATGACATAAATCAAAAAGCCAGCTGCAATAAGCCTGTTTGACAACGAGCGCTGTACACATGATGGTATTTATTTCTGTTGTGTGCTCTGTACATGTTCTGGTCTGTGTCACAATATGGTTTTAATAAAGTTATTGAAAATCACATGTTTCATCTTTGTTACTCTGGTTAGTAAAGGTACGCAGTTAAGCTTCTGTTTAACTAATAAGTACCAGTGAAGATACCCGACTACTAAACACTAAACAGATTTGGCCGATTCGATAATTGTATGAGATGCACGTTTTTTAAAAAAAGAAAATGAAAATCTTAAATAAACCGGGCTTACCAAATACATCTACAGAGTAAATAGTTGGTGTTTGAATAACAGAGACATAATGATTATGTTACACGAAATCTACCATTAAATTATTCTATTCGTGTCGCCTAGCAACCGCTATGAACGTCCTTGCAGGAATCTTAGCCGACTCGTGGAAATACGTCATCCCTGCTCTGTGAAATACGTAGCCAACAACACTACATGTTTGTTTAAAAAAAAAAAAAAAGCTATAAAATCATCCAACCACTTTCCAACTTCCCGGATTTGTATACTGTAACAGCACCTTAAAGTGGAAGTCATAATAACTACGTAGCTTCCTAGCTCACTAACATTAGCCGCTTATGGTGAGTAGTACGCGGGTCGTCCGCCGGTAGCGCTGTTTGCACACCCAGCAGGAATCACATGATCCATCCAGATCCTGTCTGCTGCGAGTAAAGGCTCTCCCAGGTACTAGTTCACCACGTCTTTGTGTTGTGATAGGACGCTAATGCAACAGGTAAAGTTTTGGCAGAGCTGCGAAGTTGTGTCAAAGCCGTTTGCGAGCTTGTTATCAACTTGAATGCATGTAGGCTACAGTAATCCCATTTTACTGTTGTATGGTTATATAGTTCCCTTGATGAGTGTAAAGTCTAAATAAGGTGTGTTTTGTCCTGAACTAATTCGAGGTTGACCTTCTTTTGACAAAGCACCACGTTCTTCTTCACTTGTGCTTTTTTCCCCCCTGCAGGACAATGAAGCTGATCATCCTCAATGACTACGACCAGGCGAGCGAGTGGGCTGCCAAGTACATCAGGAACAAGATTATACTGTTCAAACCTGGTCCGGACAAATATCTCACCTTAGGGCTCCCAACAGGTAAGCAGAGGCTTTAACTGTTGTCTTGATAATGTTTTTTTTTTGTTTTTAAACTTAGGATTTGAGTCACTAATCGCAGTGTGAAAACGGATATAGTCAGCAGTATTTCTCCCACATATGCAGATTCAAGACGGAAACAGCCACGGGGTTAAACTTTGTTATCCGTTACATGAAAGTGAAGGCGTTGCTTGAAAATAAAAATAGTATAAAAGTAATCTAATCCCTTTTCCATCTGAGAATTTAAAATGATAGAGAAAATGCAAAAATATGCAATATATAATAATAATAATAATAATGCAATATTAATGTCAGGTCTCCTGAAATAGAAAGACTGTGTACTGTATGCACTGTAAACATTTGCCTGTCTTCAGGAAGCACCCCTTTGGGATGTTACAAGAAACTGATTGAGTACTACAAGAATGGAGAAATCTCCTTCCAGTATGTAAAAACATTCAACATGGATGAATATGTGGGTAAGTCTTCACTGTCTCTCTCTGTCTGCCCCAAAATAAAATATTTACACATTTAGAAATGGTTGAACGCTATGGTCTTGCTTAACAAGTTGTCATAAAATTATGTTAAGGGCTCCCCAGAGATCACCCAGAGAGCTACCACTCCTTCATGTGGAATAACTTCTTCAAGCACATAGATATAAAAGCCGAGAATACCCACATCCTAGATGGCAACGCTGCTGACCTGCAGGCAGAGTGTGACTCATTTGAGGAAAAGATAACAGCAGCAGGGGGGATCGAGCTCTTTGTCGGAGGTATTGCATTCAAGCTTTTCAAACCTATTTTGTTATCTATTGATTTTCCCTGTCACTGATGAAGAGACAGTAAAAATCAAATAATTCCCTTTGTCCTGTTAGGTATTGGGCCAGATGGCCACATCGCCTTTAATGAGCCTGGTTCAAGTCTGGTTTCCAGAACAAGAGTGAAGACCCTGGCAAAGGACACCATCATGGCTAATGCCCGATTCTTTGATGGGGATCTCTCAAAGGTGCCCACCATGGCTCTGACTGTGGGAGTGGGAACTGTCATGGATGCAAAAGAGGTTAGAAGTCTAGATGAATATAAACTGTTTTTCCTGTATTTGTGCTTAAGGTCTTACTTCAATATTTCAAACATACCACATGCCAGGAATCACTTTATTCCATATATTTGCTTTGATTTGTGGAACACTAAATCGCTCTGTAATTGAATCCCCGCTGACTCGACAAGAAACACAGATTGCAAGTTGTGCTTTCTCAGGCTACAGGTCACTTTTTTTTCTCTTCTTAGGTAATGATTCTCATCACTGGAGCACACAAGGCATTTGCTTTATACAAAGCTATAGAGGAAGGCGTGAATCACATGTGGACAGTGTCTGCATTCCAACAACACCAACAGACTGTTTTTGTATGTGACGAAGATGCCACCTTAGAACTGCGTGTCAAAACTGTTAAGTACTTTAAAGGTGAGACTGAATCAAAAAGCCAGCCCTTTCATATTAAGCAAAAATATTTGCACAACAAACATAATCCAGAGTAAACATTCTGATTCTTCTCCTGTTTTTAGGGATGATGTACGTGCACAACAAGCTGGTCGAGACACCTTCTTCGGAACAAATGAAGAACTGATAAGATCTTTTCCAAACTTTGTTTATCAATGTCCTTAAAAAAATAACACTCCAGTGATTCCTTTATCTTCTGGTGGAGATATATTTTTGTACATTGAGCAGTGCTTGGTGTTGTTTGACTAATACTCCCAGTAATAATTAGGTGCTGTAGCGTCAGGCCGTGTTTTTACAGCTTTGCTTCACATTTGCTCTTTGAAATAAAGTGCATTTAATTTGTACGTCTTCCTTTGTCTGTCTGTGGTATTTGGATAGTGCTGAGGTATACAGTCTGTTCCTCCAGTCACATGACAATAGGGAACAACCAATGTTGCATTTAAGTGATCCTTGGAAGCTTCTGCTTCCAGATTTATGCTGGAATTGATGGCCCAATGAACCTATTATTAATATTATTATTTACAAATTCTTTACTTAGTAAGTTTATGAAAAATTAGAACTTCTTGCCAGGTGTGAGATTTAACTAATTACATTTACTCTAACAACTAGGTTTACTACATTTAAGTGCAATTCAGGGGTACTTCAAACTTACCTTAGTCAGAAGATTTCTTCTATATTGTACTAGATGCATGTACAATTGTCAAAATCTTACCTAAGAAAATTATGTCAGCTAATTTAAATTACTCTACACTTCTCTTTTTGCATGTCTCAGGCGTAGGAGACAACTGTGTTGTGGAGGAAAACAAGATTTCCAAAGGCCTTTTAAATATGTTGTGTTGTTTGCATTTGTATTGAAAGTGAGATTTGTTATTTCACACAGTTGATATTGTGTTATACATTAAACACATTGTCCCCAGAAGAGGAATTGTTTTTTCTAAAACAACAATTTCATCTTCAAATAATGCATTTTATACATATCATGAGTAAGTAATGCCATAAAGCAAAGAAAGTAAAAAATAAAATAAAATAAAAACTTGGTAGAAATAAAAGGTCTCAGGAGGTTAAAATGCTGCCGTAAGTAGCCTATAATGATTTAATACATACATCAATATCATGAGGTAATATTGATACTTAAAATCCATTTTGTTGATAATAATAATTTATTGTTTAACTTAATGTATTTTTTACATTTTTGACACCTTCACAGTAGCTGAATACGTTTTACATCTTTCGTCTTTTATTCATTCGTGTAAGAACAACCTGTTTGCGGACATTCCGACAGCACTTGAAGGCATCATTAAATCCTAGTGCCGTCCGAGCGTCAGGAGGAAGAGAAGGAGGGACACAGCCGACAAGTAGGCAACGTTACCTTCGCTGCTTCTTTGTCGAAATTCCTTTGAAAATATATCATCTTCACTGCTGAAAAAAGGAGGAGGACGTTTTCGACATCTCGCTTCTCTTCCACAATGGCAGAACAAAACAGCAACGTCAGATATCAAGAGGTAAAGCAGCGAGTTTTACTGGGACGCGAAAACGTATCTTAGAGCTAGCATTAGCTGCAGCCCAGTCCGCTAAGTCAACATTAGCCTGTCAGTGAGAGGAAACACGGAGCTCTACCGACCAATACAGTAGTAAATCAAACTAATAAAACGTACTTTGAAACGCATGGAGATGATTCAGTAGCTCATGATTTTAAGCTGATATGACACATTTTAATTCAGTAGTTGTAAAACAAAACAGAAACGTCAGCCAATGTTTTCTGGCCTTAGCAGCAGGAGGACTGTGCAGTGACAGACGGTCAGTCCTTCTGGATCATTAACCAATACAAGCGACAGAAATTCATATAACACATGGACAAATACTATTGTGAAGGACATATTTCTAATCTATAAAGGTGAGTGGATAAAGTGTGACAATCTTGAGTGCGAAATGTGTAGTTCAAATTGAGGAGTGTAGTTTAGATGATGTACTAGAGGATAACGAGAAGGGGATGGTTGTAGACTTGTCTACTATGACCACTTGTTGCACATTAGATGATATTAGTGTGTGTGTGTGTGTGTGTGTGTGTGTGTGTGTGTGTGTGTGTGTGTGTGGTGTGTGGTGTGTGTGTGTGTGTGTTGTGACAGCATCAGTACTTAATCAACAAGCCTGTCAATCCAATATTTCTGCTCAATCAGCTGTCACTACAGGGTATGGTATCAGCTGACAAGCAGTGTTTTCAGATACTTCCTGTAGGTTAACTTAACACTATTGTTTAAGTGCTTAGGATGTAATAATAATAATACATTTAATTTGTAACGCACTTTACTGTTTTCCAAAAAAAATCTCAAAGTGCTACAGGAAGAAAAAATAGAAATAAAAACAAATTTAAACAACTAACGAAACTAAAAAGTACAAGCAGAAGGCTTTGTTAAAAAAAAAAAAAAAAATGTATCACCACCAGTAGTGTTTTCCTGAATGATTCGACTTAAGTTTGATGCAGATTGTATTTTTGTTTTGCATTCTTGTTTACATTCCTTTAGCTGGTGAATGAGGAAGAGCCCGCCCAGTCATCACAGGAGGGTCCCGCCCCGGACGCACCACCACCCTACAGCAGCATTGCTGCAGCAAATGCAGGTTGGGAACCTTCACGGCCCCATGTCAGCTAATTGAGATACACAGAAGTGGGAGAAGTATTTTAAATTTAGTGCTTCTGAATGCTAATTCTTGATTCAAATTGAAGGTCTTTCACCCGGAAGCAGCATGAGTAAAGAAGTACTAGTAGCAACAAAAACAATTATTATTATTTTTTCCCTTTTTGAAAAGCAACCTTAACCATACGGCGAAGGTCTAAAATTTGTGCTAAACTACATATTTACCACTGAGTTCTAACAAAATGACTTATAGAGTGTATTGATAATTGAACATGTTGTATAATCTCTCATCTGTCTTGCAATTTCAGTTGTTGAATGATTAATGTAAGAGCTAATGGCTTTTGTGCTTTTGATGTTTCTAATCTCACTTCTTATGAGGGCAAAGGTCAGCCATTGCATAAGTGGGTGTAGCCTTGAGCTCTAGTGTGAGTCCATTGATCTGGTTCGATGCAGTTTGTGTTTGGACAACATAAAGGAGCTCTCTTGGGAGCTGCCAAATGACCCAGATAAGAGTCTGGGCTAGTATTGTACAGAACATTAACGTAATGGACACACACACTATTAATGTCCTCCTTCCTGTTGTTACTCGCTCTGATCTGATGTTAACCTCTGCTGCTTCTGCTCTTCAAGTAAAAGGAAGTGGAAGTATTTTTTTTTCTGTCACCAACAAAACCTTCATAAATGCTGCTAAAGTCAGCCCACACTACTTTGTTTGAGCTCTGCGGCTACTGTTTAGACACACTTAATTCTGTAATATAAACAATTTAATACTTTATCCGAGCATCTAGCCTTTTTTGAGGGAATGACTCTAATAACCTAGTGTTGTGTCTGTTTGTCAGTCAGTCTGTTTGAGGAGATGACAGTGTCCACAAGGAGAATCCAACTGGTGTTAGATGTCTTTATAGTAAGGGTGATGAAACAGACCCAATCATTACTGTGGAGATGTTCTTTAGACTATAATGAAAAATATATAAAGACGTTTATCTGTGTAATATCTGCCAGTGACTGGTCAGTCTGAGTTTGTCTGCCTGAAGCCACTGAAGAAGGGCTTTGCCCGAAACCTTTGCTGCTGCAAACAAAAAAAAGTGGATCTTTGAGATTTTGGTGTGCTGTCCTGAAATAATTTCGATTATTCTGCACAAGTGTCTGCATTCACAAAGTTGGGACAAACTAGCTGTTACTGTTGTTTCTGCTGTTTGAAAGTTAAAATGTCCAAAAAGTTTTTCAGCTTGAACCTTTTCGCGATTCGAACAATATTGTTTAATCACAGAGCCCTGGCTTCAGTAGATATTATCATCACACCTTTGAAAGAACTTTACAGTTAGCCTCACAGTCTCCACAAATGTTGCTTTGAAGGGTTGGAACCTTTGGATTACAGCTTGAACATTAGCCCAACTTATGAACATGATTGATAATAATTAGAAACGTTTATGTTTGGCTATGTTATCTGTACCTGGATGAATAGTTTTGCTTTTCACCCTCACAGCTTTCTTTGAATACAAAGAAGACGGAAGCAGGTTCCCTAACCCCCCCTCCTACAGCGTTGCCACCAGTTTACCCTCCTACGATGAAGCTGAGAGAAGCAAAGAAGAGGCAGCCGTCCCCCTGGTCACTGGAAGAGTCACGGTACACTGGTTTTATTTTCAAACAGACAGTTTGATAAATAAAGTGTTTTTGCAATCCACCAATTCTCAAACACCTTTAAAAGAAAAATGGAGATAATCACAATGAACTCTTCACTTTTATTGCAGGAGGACGACTTCGTGGCCAGGGATGATTTTGAAGATGCCGACCAGCTGAGAATAGGAAATGACGGCATCTTCATGCTGACTTTCTTCAGTAAGAACTAGATTGAACATTCAATGCTAGACTTAAAATACATTTTAGTTCTGAAGCAGTCAGACACGGAGCAAGGAGGATGTGGGTACAAGACATGATCTGTTAGAAGTGAAAATATGAGGAAATATCTTATATTTTGAAAAGAGTGCTGATTACGTCAACAGTGAAAGTTTTTCAACTTGATGCACAAAAAGGGGGAGCGCTCGGAAAAAAGGCGCTGAGCCGGGCTTTTTGTCCAGGCAGCCTTGCTGCTGCAAACACTCACTACTCGTGCTCAGAATAAAAGAAACGCAAGGTGGACTCGGGGCCTTACACTATTTAATGGATGGTCTGCACACTCACCTCACAAATGTGTCTTCTTGCAAAAGATGGAGAATGTGTGCCAGCCAGTTGATTACTTGACATGAGTGTAAGCCACAAAATGTTAACTATTTGAGTGTCTTAACTTCCTGCAAGTGACGCAGGTTGAAATGAAATGAGGCAAGGCCTTGTTTTTGTTTTCATTAATTAGGCTCGTGTAGACATGGATGAGTAACAAGGAAGGAGGGGACTCAACAAAGCACTGGCAGTGTCTTACAGGAACATTTGAACTTTTTTTTTTTTTGCTTTTCTCACTCACTCGCTTTTCTCACTGTTGGCTTGTTTTACAGAGGGGGGATATTGGTGCATTAATAATATCCATATCCGTGTTGATATGTTGTGCTTTGACTTTTGTCAACGCTGGAGAAAAACTTTATTTGGCTCACCGCGAGACATTTATTGACAAGCCTTAGAGTGATGTGATGCGAGTCAACTGTTCATCAATACAAATCACCACACTTCTGTTTGTCCACCTTTTAGTACGAAAGCACTCGATGTAACTGAAATTCACAAAGCAAAGAAGTAAATATTTAACGGGTGCCGTGTGGACACCCAGCGTCCGATGCGGGACGTGATATCAAATGGTTGAGTGCTGTTAGGACATGCTGTTAGGACACCTGTTTGGTATTTTACCAAATGTTTCTATTTTTCATTAATTATTCTTTTCTTTTTTCTCCAGTGGCATTCCTGTTCAACTGGATCGGCTTTTTCTTGTCTTTCTGTTTGACCACTTCAGCTGCTGGCCGGTACGGGGCCATCTCAGGCTTCGGCCTGTCACTCATCAAATGGGTTCTTATCGTCAGGGTAAGAGCTGTTTGATAAATATTCAACACTAACCGTGCAGTTTAAAGGTGTGTGAACACTGGATTAAAACTCTGAAAATGTTCCTCATAATCCTACAAGATCCTGATTGTACGATCTCATAATTCTTCCAGTTTTCAACCTACTTCCCTGGTTACTTTGATGGGCAGTACTGGTTGTGGTGGGTGTTCCTGGCCCTTGGTAAGTGAAATAAAATATTAAATAAACAAAAAGCATTTCTCCAATTGCATCTTGGTAATTATTTAACATGTTGTGATTTTAATGAATAGCATAATGTCTTCTCTTCAACCATCCAGGCTTCATGCTCTTCGTCAGAGGCTTTGTGAACTACTCCAGAGTGCGTAAACTGGCTGATCCCACTTACGCCACTCTTCCCCGAACAAGAGTACTCTTCATCTATTAGAGGTAGGTGGGATTAATCCAGTCACACTTACGATCAAATACCTTTTTGTCACTGGAGATATTTTCATATGCATACAGTAAAGTACTTGGATTTAAAAAGAAAACATGAAATATCTGGCATTTCTTACCACCCACAGAGCGTCTAATGCCATAACAATGTTTCCAAAGTCTGCAAAAATGCTGGATGGTCGTCACTGTTTGGTAGTTTTAGGAGTCTGTATTACATTTCTGATTGGTTCCATCTTAACTGTTCTATAATGTCTGTTTATATGGCACACTGGCAAACTTTTTTTTACAGCAAGTAATGTAATGCATGTAAACATAACAAAGGACACACCGCACATTGTTGAATATGAAACAACTACCTATGAGTTCACTGTTACATCTTCTCTTGACCTTGATTCAGGAACTCGGCTATTGAAGAACCGGACAACACGTGCTGCAGCTCCGTGAAGTGTTTCAGATTTAAGAGAAGACACTAAACAACAATTTGGCCAGACGTGTTATAGATGAAGACAAGTGTGGATGAAATATTCAGGATTTATATCACTTGTTTTATTTTATTGTTTTTGGAACTTTATTAATGGAAGATGGTTAACAGTAATAGTCCCTCAATGTACTCATTAGTGGCGAATGTTAAGTGCTATTTACATCTCTGTCTGTAACGTAAAAGTGATGCCTTATATCATTTGGTGGTAGCGTACAAGCATGCATCTGCCCTTAAGGTCGATAATTAGGGAGAGTCTCATGTTGGTGACACTTGGAAGCGATCAGGTATTAATGGAACAACACTCGCTAGATTTGCCGTAGCATGATGCAACACGCGTAGTAATCTGCACTTATCTGACTCCATGGTTTTATTGTGGCTTTTAGAGGCTGTTTTTAGAAACCACATGCACTCAAAAAACAAGCTTTCATTCGGCTGTAAATGCTGATACACTGATATCCATTGATTTCTCTCACCTGTTGGCTTTAAATAGTGTTACCCTTGTTCTTAGCCAGGAGGGGGCAGTGTTGTCTACTGCTGTTAAATTGTTCATGAAGGGCATCATCATACAGGAACGTACATGCTTGTGATTTAAAACAGTGTCAGTCGAGCGCCCCAAATGACATCGGTGTTTTCTGAAGTTATGGTTTGGACCTGTTAAATGTTTTGTTCTACTTGAAATCAGGTAAAATGATCCACCCTGGAAACAGTTTTGGTTTATAAATATGATGTGAAATGATCCAGTTTGAGTTCTTAAAATAGAAAACGCCAGAAACCAGATGGCCATGAATGTCAGGAGACAAACCCTCAGAGCAGGTCAGCTGACAGAGAAGGGACACTGAAGTTTTGGACACTTGCAGCAACCACGATGATATTTTTTTCTGTGTATATGAGCACATTTTCTGGTTCATATCCTCAAACAGCTCATGTAGATGTGAGAGCCTGACCTTTCCATGACTCTGCAGTGAGTCAGTGGAGTCAGCGTCTCATCCTCTGTCAGTGGAAAAGCTCTATGATTAGAGGAGAGGGTTTCTGTGTGTCTGGATTTCAGCCGTTAATGATTTCCCTCAGACATTTGTAACAAATTATCCAAAAGCATTAAAATAACTCAAATTCCATTTTCAGGTGGTACTTTTGCCTTAAGATTAAATTGACAGGTGTTTATTTTTCCTTTCTCTATAATCTTGATTTAAGAGGTGTAAGATGTTAGCTGTTCTGTGGGTATCAAATCTATATCAAAGAATGTTTTGTATGCAGGTGCACTTTTAGAAACATAGCCAATAAAACCCAGAGGTCATTCCCATCATGACTTAAACACCCAGACATATAGAACAAGGAATGAATGATGCAGGATTTAGTTTCCTTGTTAAATTGTGGAATAAGCTGGAGTTTTTAATTTAACCTCGGTTGTCAATGGAAGGAATTAGTGTGGATTAAAGTCTGGCCCTGCAAACTGAACAGTTAGCCTTATCAGTTAACTCCATACATCTGCCATGGCTTTGATACAGACTCATTGTGCTTCTTTCTATGGCATGTAGAGCTGCAACCCTTGGGTTTTGTTGATATGAATCTGTACAGAAAACGGTAAGTGTTAAATAAACGTCACTTTTAATGTCTCAATTCTGAGTCGTCTGGATTATTGACTTCTGTGCACCAGGGGAAATGTTTTTTTTACGGCAGTTTGGGAGTTGAAGCATTCAGAGAAAAGGGTATGAATGACTAAATGAAATAAAAAGGTCGCAATGAAGTGACGCTCTTCATGAACGTCACTCCAGATTGTACACATTGGTGGCACCATGTGGCTGCACAGTGTAACAGTTAATGTGAAATGAAACAACAACTCTTCATCGAGGCCCAGGCAGAGCAGTGCGCAGATTACAGGCGAGGCAAACCAGAAATGACTTTGAGTTTATACTTTGAAACAAGGCGGCAAAATGATACGTCACAGGGTTACATTGTGTTAATCAAGTCGCAGACGATTTTTCCCTAGTGTAGGTTACAGTAAAATAAAGCAAATCCTCCATACAGTATGTCGTCTCAAATGTGCATTAGGAATGTGTCTTTCGTACATCTGATGTGACTTTCCAATCAAAATTCAAGGACAGCTGGAGACACTTTCTAATCGTTTAAATAAAATGATCAACACTATATCATTGCGTGTGGGTTTTTTTTTTTTTGCACCAAAACACCAAGACAAAATTCCTTGTATGTGTTAATGTACTTGGCATTGACTGGCGAACAGTCCGGGGTTTACCCTGCCTCTCGCCCAATGACAGATGGAAATCGGCTCCAGCCCCCTTAGCAACCCCGAACGGGACAAGCAGTATAGATGATGGATGGATTAGTGTTCTAGTGGATCTAGTGTTTTTCTCCTGGTGCCACACAATCTTCTAAAGTGCCTCTAAGTCAGAGAATTGGTCCAAACATCAGCATGAACATCAGCTGACTTGTGGTTTGTCTGTTGATGATACTGTCCCCCAAATAAAATGGGATGTTTTGTTAGTCTATGTTAGAATGATAACATGCACAGTCTTTCGACACTGATGCATTATTTGGCTAAGGACTAATATTTGGACGAAACAGTGGCTGGTCTTTGCCTTTACAATTATGCACATCATTAGCTATTTTCCTACCTTCCTCATGTTTTGTGATGGCCTAGTAGTTCACGAGCTAAAATAGCAAACTATGGCATGTTCCCAACAAATAGACCCGTCCTCTTCAGTTTCTCTTCCAAGTGAGTTGAGGTCTGCGTGTCTTCACTCGTTCAGCTGTCGGGGCAGAAAGAAGATGGCCTTCTGTCCAATGTGAGTCCTCGGACCCAGTTTAGGTTTTCCATTCTTTTTCAGAGCTACGTACCAGTTCTCCTCCACATATTTCTGAGATCTATACGTGTTGTAGTGGTTCTCCTCCAGCTTCTCCACGAAGTAACATTCATCAGTCACTGTGACCTGAGGGAAACAGAACATGCACAGGGCAGCTGACAGCACTTTAATGGTTGGATTGAGGTTAAAAGTTTAGATCAAGAATGTATAACAGTGATTAAGCGATCCATCTCGAACAGATATAATGGCTCCCTTCATCATTGAGTGTAGTGCATCGATCTATTACACAGATCATCAGGTGGGCTGTGTAGATACTCACTGAACTGTACAACCGTCCCTCATCGCTCATGGCCAAATATTGCCCAGCTTCTGTTCCTTGGATGATTACTACGCCGATGTCCACTGCTGTGAGCTTTAAAACAACTGAAAGGAGGAAAAATAACAAATAAATGAAACCACAGCAGCTGAGGCCCATGAATACAACTCCACAAACACCTCTGGTAAGAGTAAAATCAAATCTGAGGTTTCTCCAGTCTTTAGCATTGGAAGTGTAGGACTGTCACTTTTTAGGTTTTCCCATTTTTTTGTATTACCTGTTTATGAGCTGGAAGATTGGCCCTCTATAAATATTCTAGATAGGATATTGCACAAGTCATGCTACTTATTTTTGTGCATTCTTTTTTAGCAAAGCATATTAACACATTTCAAAAATAAACTTAAAATTGGCCAGTGGGAGAAAAAAAAACCTGGCATATCCTCCCTTTTCCACTTTTCAAAAAGTTTCTAATTTGCTTCCTGATTTATTGGATGGATGCCTTTGAACCCGACACGCCTTCAGTAGGCTACAGGGAAGTGAACGCATCATGCTGCAGGCCTGACCTGGATGTAAAATGCGCAGTGCGCTGCAGCCTTACTGTGATCGTCCCTGTCCTCCCTCTGGCCCTGCACCGTCCCATCAGGAAGGATCTGGAGGTGATGTCCGCCATTCATGCAGTACAGCCGAGTCAGCCGCCTGAAGTCCCGCCGCAGGCCGCCGTCCGCTGTTTGGTCCTCGGATACAAACGTCTGCACATCTGTCATCCTGCTCAAAGCACAGCTGTGAATCAACAGGGGGGATAATTGAGAAAAGGATGGCTTTCTATGAAAAATAATCAGCTCGATCTGTCCCCTGCAGTGGTCAGGTGTCTGCAGGCGCGTGGACGAGTGGAGAGATCGCACAAGGCGGCGGGATGCGCGTGCCCGACTCAACATCAAACTGAGAAAATGATTTGGGGTGTGAACACTGACACAACAAACTGGTTGAGGAACAATTATGTAACAATATTATACCATCTATATAGTTAAACTATATTCTTATTATTAGTTCCATTAAAAAAAAAAAATCAGGTAGCCTTTATCAACGTGGAAAATATCCCTCTACTCTCCTGGATGATAAAGAAACACCGTTTTGAGTTTAGATGAGGGAAAGTACAACATTAATTAAGTCAGGACAAACTTCTTCTAATCATAGGAAGTAGAGTTGATTCTTAACATTTGTTTTGTTCAGATTTTAATCAACACTTTATTTAGGAACTGTTTTGGATCATTTGGAGACCCTTGTTTTTGATGACTGCTGAAACTTTGTTGGACCCACAAATTTACAGCAAGATTCAAATCACAGAAACACACACATTCAGTGTTTGTTAACAAATCTGCCCCAATGTAGAAAAGTGTGACTTCAATGAACTGTGCATGGTGCTATAGGCTTGATGACAAGAAGCTGAAGTTGCATCACATATGAAAATGACATCAGTGCAGATTCACACTAAATTTTGAATGAGTCTTTGATGAGATTTCATTCACTGGTAGATTCAGATCTTTTTTACAAAGCAGCAGAGTATTGGAACACGTTCCCCTTTATGTGTTCCCTTAAGAAACCCCAAAACATTTTATCCCCACCTTTAACAACTGGAACTTTAATGATGAACACCCTGATGCTCCAGGTAAGAATAACAATCCAATTTAGTAGGATGGGCATTATTCTGATTTCACTTGTGGTACTTGTCTGTAGTTTAACTGAAGAAGCAGGACTGTTGTACTGCCACTTTTACTTACTTAAAAAATCTAGATATACCTCTCCCACCTCTTCATTTTTGATCAGACTGTTTCATTTGAGGTTTCTATCTGCACTTGGTCCTGATTGGCTCTCTATTGTATCACATCATTCTTCAAGTAAACCCTTCAAAAAAAAAAAAAAAAAAAAAAAAAAAAAAAAAGACTGAATTTGTGCTTTATGCTCTGCTTGGCTAGTCTCTCTGAAAAATAGAACCACAGTAAACATGAAAACATTTACCTTTAACACAATCAGTGTGTCAGGTTATACAGATCACAGTTAAATTATAACCTTCAACAGTCAACAAAGCAGGTGTCAGAATGGAAAAGCGCATTTTATTTGATGAACAAGTGCTTGGTGTGATCATGAAACGTGTCTTACAATGAGCTTACTGTTTCCACTGTTCAGAATCATCCAGTTCATAATTTGTCAAACATCAGCATACAGTTCATTATTTGGAGAAGTACCACACAAAGACACAGTTGGACCTTTAATCAATGGTGGATAAGATCAACTGGAGCAACACTACAGAGGAGAAATAATACAGAGGGAAGGTATAGAAAAACTGTTATTTGGAGACAAATACACCACGATTTTCTTTACAATGGATTATATGTACATATTCAATTTTTTTTTGCGCAAAACAAATGTTTGTTTTTTTTATCTTATTTTAGAGAAAGCATATACCAGTGAAACATGATCTGCCCTTGATAATTCTTAAAATGTCTGCATATGTTTTATACAAAATAGATTTTCAAACAATATTTGGGTAGTGCAAATCCTTTTAGATTCAAGCTGGTTGATTACTTTCACAAACAGTTTTTTTTTGTGTGAGTGAAAAAGACTGACTCCTATCCTATTCACAGTATTACACAATTTGACCAAAGCCATTATGTTAGAGTAAAAAAATGTGTTTTAAAAAACAAAAAACAAAGAACTGTACATTTGTCTTCTAGTTTACACTGACGAGTTGAATTTGTCTGTGCTCGCTTTGGTCACCTTGTAGTCAAACATCAAATATGTTGTTTCTGTGTGTGATTAGTCGTGGTAGACTGATTACTGACTGAGGGTATCTTTTCCTGAAAATCTGTCCTGCAGAGATAAAAGTTAAGTGTGAATCTCCTGTATGCAAATAGCTTATCCTGGAAAAAAACATGAGGCAACCACATTTGGCAATGTGATGGAGATAGATTATCTGTTGTTTCTATTGCATATTCAGATGTCCTCCTCAAAAATGTACAAGAAAGTGAGCTAGGATACATTTTTGAGCAAGAAGAGGCAAGTGTGCGATTTCTTATATATATATATATTCAAGCTGTTTTAAATGAACAGCAGCAGCAGCAGAGATTTGGATATACTGAATGTGAAAGTAACCCATGAGTAACCCCTATGCAGTTCATGAAGTTGATTTTAAAAGTATTTTGAATAAACAACAAAGAAAGAAAAAAGAATAAGCGACAACTGTTGGTTTATCCGAGTGTGAATGACGTCGGTGGCAGCACATCCCTCTCCTAAATCTGTCTGGTGACAACAAACAACACAAAAACTTAAACAACAAGAGGTTTTTGTGTGAATCCAAACTCCTGTTCTTCAGGTTAGGACATAAACTAGGACATAAAAGTTTAAGTCGGACTTCGATATCCTGAGCAAGGGAGCGGCCTAACATTTATAACAAGTGCTTTGTTTATTATTATAATAATATAACAATTTTCCATATTTTTATGCCCTATCGAACCTTGCTCGCGTGACATACTTATCCAAGTACTTTAATCTAGTTGGGAATCAACACCTTTAATCCATTACAATGAGTTCCCTCTTTAAGGTACACACAAAATGTTGGGGTTCGAGACACGACGATGACAGACTAAGGGGACAACTGATGGAAATGTTACAGCACCTTCCAGCTTACAACACGGAGAGAAAGGGACATCATCACACCTACGTTAATGTATAAGTGCACTGTGTTTAAGTTACAGCTATCACTCATTTATAATGACTCAGGTTATTTATTTAGGACTTTTTTTCTAGTTGTGGACAAAGCTTCAATACCGGGACGTGATTCCTCCTCCAATTCAAACCTGGGCCAACTTTCAGCTCGTGAAAACAGACAAAACCAGGAGTTTGGCACCGAAACCGTCCCAGAGAATAAAGGAGCCATTGTGCCGGCCTCCCAAAAGGAGGTGACCGATGCTAAGTGCTTTCAAACATTGGGACTTGACTAAATAACAGACAGACAAATAAACGTGCAAATGTCCTACAAAGACATTAAGACAGGGCGTCAAAGGAGCTGAAGGGTTCAATCATAACTGGAGGTGAATACGTTCTGCCCACACCTGATCCAAAGTGCTGCATACACAAGCTGTCTATCATACAAACAGTTTTTTCACACATCAGGAAACAGGCTCCTCCTTGCTTGTGTAAAGTTGGATGAAAAAACAGCTCACTCTTCAAATACGGTATAACCAGGAGATGGTTAGCAACACTTAGCATAAAGGCTGGAGAACGGGGCCGACAGATGGCCAGCCTGAAAGTTTAAAAATCACTCACTATCCCTCCACAGCTATTCAATACCATTACACGTCGTTTGTTTAATGAATATTAATATAAAAAGAATAAAAGCAGCAAGAAGTGAGGATGTTGTGTGTCTGACAACTCTTGGTGAGGGTCACTTCCCAGACACATAACTCCCCTTCATGAAAATAGCTACCTTCTCTTTCGTGTACAAATTAAACAAATGATGTGTGACATATTACTGAGAGTTAGAGGTGATGGTAAATGGATTATCTTTGGACAGGCTAGCTGTTTCCAGTCTTTATGCGAAGTTAACACTAATGAGTAACTGACTGCAGCTATAGACATGTTAGCTGAGACAGTCTTTTCATCCAACGATTGGTAAGAAAGGAAATGAGCTGTCCCCATATTCTGAATTATTCCTTTAACAAACCGCAGCAAATCAACAATGCAAAGTCTTTCAATGGTAAGTTATCAGAAGCATAAAGAGTGCATGGTTATACGGTCTAAGAAGGATCATCAGTGGCAGAATCATGGCTACATGTTCATCAGTTTTATAAAACAGACTGTAAAAAGGATATAAAAAGGACGGTTATTTTACAACCAGTCTGAGCCATGTTAGAAACACAGAAATAAGTTGTCCTGATCAATTAATAAAATGACATAATCTTTCAAACACATAAAACATGCCCTCTTTTCTATGATTGGTGGACGCAGGTTATCTATCACATTCAATTATTAGACTATTGGGGCAGGAGCGGGGGCTAAAATAAGCATTAGAGTGGGCTACCATACTAGAAAAAGTTCTCTACCTTCCACCTAAAGTCCTACATTACAGCCCGGTACAGTTTAACAGTCTTTCTTCACAGTCTCTTAAAGCCTTTAAGCATGGTTCAAAGTGCTCACATCGCACTGGAGAAGAAGGGTGTGCGGGGAATCGCATGAAAGGAAGCAGGCTTCGATAAGATCATTTCTACACGCGGAGGATGGACCGAGCTGCCACTTCTAGAGGGAAACACAGCCATCGAGAAAAAAAAGGAAAACTTTTAACTGCATGTAACATAAAAAGTACAATCAACATATGATGAAGGTAGACCGTGACGGGTTCAAGAGAAGCCCGTCTTGGACATGTAGGAAGAAATGACTTCGATGATATATGAAGCAAAAAAGGCACATTTTTTTTCCCTTTTAAAATAGACGCGTGTAAACCTGAAAGAGGTCAGCATATGGGAGAAATAAACCTCTCAATAACGCACTTTGACTGACGGTCCAACAGAATTGTTTCCTATGTTCATTGTGTCAATCAAGCGATGACGTTTTCTTTTTAAACGACTGGAAAACTGTTTTTTTCCCCCCCCAAGTGACTATTTTGTTACAACTGCTTACAAAAACTAAAAGAGGAACATACAGTCAAAAAGCCTACTGAAGAGCATGTTTTTAAACTTTGTTACCTTCCCAGGTAACATCGACCTGTAAAAGTGTATAAACTGGTATGATTTGAAAATGTAGAAAATACTATCAGAACCTGTACATATTCGCTTTATCTTTATGAGATATTGTTTTGTGTTTGAAGATAGGAAACCTGAGACGACATGGATGTTAGCTTACTTCTCTTGGTGATTATCTAGTCTTACAAACTGACTGACTATGCTCTACATAACCTCTGTGCTCGCTGTCTGCGTAGTCTTTACAGTCTTTACTGGACGCGTCCAGTCTTTACACAAAGTTGCATACTCTCTCTACCAACAAACATCAATGACTCCTCGCCTCGGGTCCTCAGTCCTCTCATTGTTGCTCCTGAAGGGGGTTGGGTGGGGGGTGGAGGGGCGGGTTGTGAGGTGATGTGATGGGTATTTTAAGGCAATGTGTCTGTTTTGGGGTAAAGTCATCTCTGGTGGAAGAGGAGGGGTTTGACGCTGCCGGCCTTGAATTTTGGTAGCTGGTTGCTGATGATCTCCGCCAGCATTTCTGGGAATTCCACACTCAGGGATTTATTCACAAAGGTGTAGAAGCAGAAGTTGAGCAGCCCACCGACCATCTGCACACAGACATGTTGGTGTATGATTATCACAGAAACACACACATTCAGTGTTTGTTAATATAAAGTGAAAATATATTTCTACGTCTTATCCATTGTGCTACCACTACAAGTTGGATTCTGTCCCATATCATCCATATGCGATAAAAAAAGAAGCTGACTAAGTCAGTTTATCTTCGCTAATCAGTGTGATAGGGGTGCATAGTTAAAACAAAATAGCAAAGGTTTGCTTTTACACTTGGTTAGATCTGCTGGCACAAAAAGTTGATGTTTGTATGAAACACTGAAAATGAAGATATCTTTGCATTATGGGAAAAAAGTACTTGTTTTCAACCCCCTATTATTTAGACTTAATGAGGCTGCTATGTAAGGATGAAGCTGGTCAATAACCACCGGCTGATAATGTGTTCAAAGCTGCTCATGTTGGGGGAGTTACCTCGTGCATTGAGTCCAGCAGCTTGGTGAGCTGATAGAAACGCTGCCAGTTCTGACTGGAGTTCTCTTCACGCTTCACAATGGCTTTACCCAGCTCCTTAATGTATGACATCCTGATATCGTCAAACACCGCCTGGCTCTTCAGGCCATCCTTTGGCACTGCAGGGGAGAGGACACAAAGGTCAACATTTGGGAGAGAGATGAGGAGAATGTACTGCACCGATGACCAGATTTAAGAATTCATCCAGCTTTCAAATGCAGAGGAGGGAAGTCTTTACGTTTTTAGTTACACCTAGATGATGTGATGGGCTAAAATAGCAGTTTGTAGAATGCCCTGGCAATATTTAACAGCACAGAAACACATGCAAACCATGCCTACAAGAACAAAGGCAGCACACCCTGGGGAGGGCTGTTTGGACTGTGAGCTGTGTTTAATTGTTTCTGCAATCAAACATCTTTAATCAGAGTACAATTATTGAGTCTTGGGTTTGCAGCTTTAATTTTCTTGATTAAGTTTAGGAGACAACATCAGGTGTTGTGTAGGTCTGCAGTTATTGTCTGGCAAATTATTGTCTGGCTGCTGAGAGTGTATTTTTCTGTATCAAACTAGAAAAGCCTGTGTGGATACAATTCCTATTTACGATCTTTAAATGTCAGCTAATGAGTTTGGAAAGTGCTGTGATGGGATGTCTTGTACTGAGCGTCCATCAAATTTATCTTTAAGTGTCCATGTGCAGTACTGGATTGAAGTAATGGTTTCTGTAATGAGTGCATTCAAACAGCACCATGTTCCACATGGGATGGTGGAAGAGGGTGAAAGGTGTCTTACCTGTGCTGAGCAGCAGCAGGACCTTCATGCACAAATACTCATCGTGGGAAACCTGCAGCCGAACAAGCTCTGTGGAAATCTTCAGCATCTGCTCGCACTGGTCGGCCATGTAGGGCAGCTTCATCCGCTCCCTGGTGGAATTAGACAGAAGTGGTTAAACAGCTTATCCTGCTTTCACCTGAAGTCATAGTTGATTTATATGTCTGTGTGTGCATCACGCTCTATCAGGGAGACGAAGCCGCTCCCCGTAACATCTCTGTAGATTAAACTTTCAAGGTCTTGCTTGCGGATCCTGTTTTAAATCATTCTTCCAGAAATGAGTTTCAGTCTATTAGCTTGTTGGAGCAGAACACTAAGAAGACAAACGCGCGTCACTTCAGTGATGAAGTGATGTTGTGGGTGGAAAGTATGGACAAACTCTCAAAAACTCTTCAAATTTATGCCTAGGAGACACTTTTTCATTAAAGTGCACAGAAAACAACATAGAAATAAACAAAAAAACACCTGTGCTAGATTCTTTCATTATCCATGAAACAACCTTATAAATGGCAGAAGACTTTAATCAAATGGTGAAAGAGTGTATTATGACTGCCAACAAGATGAGAATATATAATAAGGTACTACAAATGTGCTGCAGTTGAATTGAGTTTTTTGGGCCTGACTGACTGAAAGAGAGCACACCACCATCAGATATTAATTATAATCACATCAGCTTTCAGCTCATGATTACAAAAAAAAAAAGGAAAAAGTGAAAGGCCTTCTGCAGCCTGAAGCACGGTGGCTGTGCAGACTGCTCACGACAGGCTGTTTACAAACGGAGTCATCAGGTCTATAACAGGGATCAAACACTGATTACACATGACTGCTGACTGACACTGTATGAATCTCAAAAGATATGACACAAATCACAGAGCTGAAATTAATCACATAAACTAACAGAAGTCTGTATTGGCTGACTGATTCACACAATAAAAAAAAAAGTCAAATATATTATGTATAAAGACTCCTATAACCAGACCATGGCATTCTACTGTCGATACGGACACATTTTCACTGGAAACATTTTTAAAAATGTCTGTCATACTACATCTGGAATGTACTGCAATGGTTTAATGCATTCATGCATTCAGAATGGATTGATACATACTCGTTTATGACAAGGTCCGGTGCAAAGCAGAGCATGTTGCCATTGCACTGCTGGTAAGACCTCCAGCCCAGTCCGAAAGACATGAGGAAGAGCCAAGAGCACTGCAGCAGAGTCATCTGGTCATCAAGATGCAGATTCCTGAAACCTGAAGGGAAGCACATGTTTGAGAGGGTGTGGTGGAGAAAGTGCCAATGCCTAGTCAGTTACAAATGAAAAAGGGTGTTATTCATTTAATCAAATGGTGCCTAGATGTCATCTTAGCCCAAGGTGCAGCAGATGTGTTGCTAGCTTGTTTGTTAACAAAAATCAAAACAGTAAAGTCACATGTTTTGCACGGTTCCAACATATTGCAACACCTCCTGAGTTCAGTTAACAACAATACTATTTAGTGTGCTGTAAACATAAAAAGTGAGAACAGTGTCTGCACATTCATTTTTACAATACCAAACAATGATGACAGCATGCATTATAAAACTGTGTTTGTGCAGAGTTCTCTTTTGAATCATATTGCAACATGTCTATGTGGTGCCACATCCATCACTTTGCAATCTCACTAATAAAATCTACCTTCATCTCACAAAACATGATTTCTACACACTGCAACCAGAGTTGATGCTAGACTTTTTTTATGGCCAATTTGGCCAGCAACTCTGGCCATATGGAGCAACTGCGGGACATATGCTTTGAATAGCCATATGTGCCTAATAACCTACATTCAACAGCATAAAACACACAAACGCTATTTTGAATTCATTATTATGCAAGAATTTAATGTCTTGAAAGTTCTTTCGGTACTGTGTATCGCACCACTCTGCTCAATGTGCGAGTTGTTCTTAAAAATCACTGTTAACAGCTGATATGCATGTTTAAACATTATAGGAAAATCCAAGCTGTTGTATAATTTGTATACTAGTTCCTTTTGCAAAGCATCCGTACATTAGATGAGTGTAGTCTATATATCATGATTGGTGATCTTATACTGATAAAAAAGGAAAAAATGCTTTTCTGCCGGACCCCTGCACTTGATACCAGCTAACATAAACCCTGGTGGCAACCATCCCTCTGACAGAGCTGACCACCAACCTGGTAGAGCCTTGGCCCACTTGACAGCGGAGATGACCTGTCGGCCACCCAGTCTGTTAAGGGTGGTCATGAGGCGGGTGGAAGTGTCTGGCAGGGTGCTGTCGTAGCCGGCGTAGATTGTGTCTGGTTCAATAGCTTTCAGCAGAGACAGCATGGTGGGAACGAGTTGAGGCATGCGCTTGGGCATGAGTGAATGGGCCTCAATTGGTGGAGAAGGAGTCAGCTCAGGTGGGTTGCTCTGCTGGGTGCCCTTTAAGCGGTTCAACTTCTTGGTTTTGCGTGCTGCAAGGACAGAAATGAGGGATGATTTTAAGAGAGAAGGTAAAGAGAAGACAGAAGCAATCAATCCAACTAAAGGGTAAGAGTTTGGCACTATCTTTGTGGTTAATATTTACCCTCCAAGTTCATGCCTGCCATTAGACACTTGCGGAAGCGGCAGGCTGGGCAGTTCTTCCTCCTGATCTTGTCTATTATGCAGTCGTTCCTCCCAGCACACAGGTAATTATGCTGCCCTGTGTCACACAGAAGAGCAAGATTAATCTGTTATTTACCTTTCCCGCTGTGGCAAACACTCCAGGGGGAAAAACTAATTAGATGCATCACAGTCCTTTACTTTGTTATGATCAAGTCTCCAACTTAAGACCATAATTATTCCAGCATTTGAGTAAATTTATGTAAACTGGATTAGTAATCAAAGAGTTTATCACAAGCTACGGATTAATCAGTGAGGAAATAATGATGTTATAGTACCTTCGACGGCCCTCTTGAAAAAGACCTTGCAGCTGCCACAGGTGAGAACGCCATAGTGGCAGCCTGAAGCCTCGTCCGAGCACACCAGGCAGATTTTATGAGTCCCGCTCTTTCCCTGAGCCGGAGGTAGAGCTGTGCCAGCTTCTTGTCTGGAGGTAGAAAAGGAGAAATATGTCAGGTATATACAGTCTCTCTTAAAAAGCTCCCAAGGGAGTTTTTGTTTTCTAGTGGCACTATGGATCTTTTTTGAAGAGTAGGTCACTGTTTTGTTTATTCCTGACAATGACATTTCTTTCTGTAATTCTTCTGTCTTTCACTGATCTGCAAAGATAGTCAGCGACACACCAGCAAACAAATTGATAATCTAGACTTTAATGATAAACAAAACGTGTTTTTTTTTGTACCACTGAAAGTAAATGTTTCTTTTATTCAGAGGGAAACTTCAAAGGTCATTCTCAACACTGAAATATACTGTGCATTAGTTATAAACTAGAATTCTATTTTCTGGGAAAATTATATAATTAAACAATTTAAAGTCATGAGAAACAGCTGCACAAACATCTCAATCAAGTCCATTAAGAAGAAATACTGTATGAAATCTACTAAATGCCATGATGTGTACTGCCTACGCCTATAACTAAAAGCCCCTCTCAGTTTTTAGTTCAGCTGCAGTTCAGATTTACAACCCTGCACTCAAACTTAAAATAAATAAACTACACAGCTATATTACACACAGCTACTGCCATCAGAGTCAATGTGCCTCTTGTGCTTGTTTTTTCTTCGCAACATTGCCTTCGTTCCTGACATCATGAGAGAAGATAAGTAAGGCCATTGTGTCCTTTTCTAGCCTCTAAATCCTCAATTATCTAAAGATCTGTGGTCACATCCTAAATCCAGTGGTTGTCAGAAACTGCCCTTCTTTCTCCTTTGATTGTACCACAAACATTTCCAGACAGAAGTGGACAACAGAGGTAAAATACACTTTCTAACAGCAACCACTAGAGGACGTCAGGCTTTATTTCATCCATGCACCAGAGGTCCACACCCCCTTTCATACCCAGTGGCCACAGCAACAACAACAACACAGCCAGGATACTGAGCATGAGACATGCAACAATTGTGTCAGTTTGTCTATGTGTGTGCCACTTCCACAAAAACAAACAAGTTATGCTTGATAAGGGCTGCACTGAAATGTCACTGCACACTTACACACGTATGCAGATTTGAGAAGTTCACTCTTAGTTACACAACACAAGGGTATTAGCATGAAAGCAGGCCAAGCCCCAGTAGTCAGTGGGTGTAGCAGGACGGGAAAACCTGAGTGAAACATCAAAGCATCAAGTCCAGAGGAATTCAGCAGCCAGATAAAAAATATATTTAAATAAAGAAGATCAGGGAGAGACCTCAGAACAGGATGTCTGGCCACGATAGAGCTGAGAGCTTTCTGAGCACCGCTAATAACATACTATGGTCAATAAGTCTGTCCATTAACCTCTTATGGTTTCTATTCAATATAAATGTGTGCTGATAGTCTGTGGGCTTTCATTTCCTGCCTGAGTATCTTTCCTGCACTCATCGATGTGTACAGCTGAAATCCCAACCGAACAATGTCTACCCCTAAGTCATTTGGGTCAGGGGAGGCATTCAGAACACAAAGTGGGGTTCTCACTGAACAGCTCCCCCCTGGTCCATGTGTGAGGGGTTAATCCTGGGGCAGATTTGATTGAGAACAAGCAGCAACTACATCCACAAAAATCCAGCAAACTAGCATTTTCAAATACATCTGACTCCCTACTTCACCAAAAATGTGCATGCCTGGACATTTTACAGGAGTTCAAAAAATAAATTCAATACAGTGGGATACACAGACAGGCAAGATGTGTCATAAAGATGTAGTACTCACATCATACTCCCAACTAAATTTATTCATGTCTGAGGCAGAAAACATTAGCGGAAGGAAAAGTATTACAAATACTTAAAGCTAGAGCAGAATCAAATAACTATTTTGTATAAAGTAAAGAAGAAGATGCGCTGCAGGGCCATTGTAGTATTTAAATACAGAATATTTCAGGTTACAACACATTACTTCAATCATGGATCATTTGTTTGCTAAAGAGGAAAACATAAACGGTATGAACCTGTGATCATCCTTCAGTAGTCTTGTCAATACCACCAGAATATATCAGCTGGCGATTAAAGATTTCGAGTTGAAGGCAGGATACGCCCCTGCGTGCAATGTGTGATGCACAGAGGGACATATTCACTCATGATGCCCCTGATCCGCCATAAGAGGTGGTAACAGAGAGAATGGGGGGATGTGCAATGTCGGAGCAGGTGGGACGGAACCGCGCAGTGTTTGTGCATGTCTGAGAGTGTGTGTATGTGAAGCTCCAGCTGTGTGTCCACACGCCGAGCCTCTTGTGCTTCCATAACGCTGTAATGGAATGTGAATTCCCACAATGGGGCACCGATATATATTACTAGGGCTGGGTATCACCACTGATTGTCTGAATCAAATTGATTACTATTCACAAGGTCCCAATTCGATTCAATTCCTGATTTGATATAGATTAATTTAGCAATATTTAAGATACAATACCAATTCTGCTTCAATATCATTAGGAGAGAACTAATTCAGTAAACTGTACAACCATTATTAAAAAGGTTTAGGTGATCAAAAAAGTTAAGTTTTTTACATTAAAAATTGACCCCAAAGCAGTTACATAAAATAACTTTTTATTTAATCCCCTCAGACAACAGTTCAGCTAGATTCATTGCTTTATGGCTAGGTTGAATTTATCTTATCTGTAAAACATGTGACATGAGTCTCTACTCATTCTCGATATAGTGACAACAGTCGGGTACAAATCTTTTGCTCTGGATTTCCAGCTCTCACAGGTTAGCGCTACTATCTTTGCCAACTCAAGTGAAGTTGCGACGCTGTTTCACCTCTGCACAGTTTTTGGATGGCCACTTCACCCAAATGTTTGCGTGTCAGTGACATGTAGCATGGCTAAATTAAATTAATCCTCTGAGGTTGCAATGTCATATACAACATATGGAATATTGTCTTTAACTCATGATTTCCAAAAGTTGAACTGTATGACATAAAAGATTTCTGTAAAATCTGCTCGCTTTGTCAAGCCAGCGGCTTTCCGATGATAAACTCTTTGTGTTGCTGCGACATTCAGGGGCTTTTCTATCCCACTGAGAAGATCAGTGTATATTCAGTGACTGTCCGGATCCAATCCTCCCAAAAGTGAATGTTATCCATAATGACTTATGTATAAATTTGAGTGAAATAGTATAACTTCTGTTACCTCACTCGGCTAACGCGGACATAGCTATTTGTTTTCCTCTTGTTTTGGTCTGTCGACCAAGCAGAAGCTGAATCTGCGATCAGGTGACATGTAAAGGCCAATGAGAAGCCGGTGCAGCCTGAAACAGATGTCACAGCCTGCTCACAGTACAGAAATACTAAAGACGAACTGATTTAAATTGAATGGTGGGAAAGGGAAAAAGCCAATTGCAAGATCAATCCCTGGGTCTTATGAATCGATATCAGATCATTCAAATAAAAATTATTATTTTTTAAACCCAGTTCTGTTACACTGTTACAGATGCCAAAAACCAACTAATGCCATCTGGCAGACAGACTAGCAACTATTAGGGTTATAGTGATTCATTCAAAAGCTAAAGAGGCAGGTATTTCCCTCAGGAATTACAGGCTAGGACTGACCTCTACATGTCAATGATCTGAATCATCATTCAAGAGAGTTGAATCACAACACTTCTTTTAGCTGTGTCACTGTAAACAGCGCAACACATGCAGGCTATAAAGTTTTAAAGAGCAGCCTCACAAGCTCCTTAATTACAAAAGTGGCCATAATCAAAAAAAATTGTTTTAGCACAGAGTAACTCTTTTCTTTTTGTTGATTGGATGAACTGATGATGACATTCCCTCACTATTTTACTGACATGGAAATCTGATTTCTTCACTTCATAGCTTCTCTGCCTTGCACTGAATTTCCTTTAAGAGGGCGGAGGCCATGAGTAATATGCAGTATGTCTAGTTATTTAAGGCAGTTTCAAGAATTGGTTGAAACCTTAAATCAATCCACACGTCAAAACAGGCAGTTTCCACAAGGCTGACTCTAGTTGGCTTTAATAACTTTATATGGTAATTAAGTAATTTTGTGTTTATAGCTTGATCCATTGCCCTCTACTTGCTAAAGAGACAATTAAAGCTGCTTAAAGATACTTTATAGGGAAAACAATGATTCATTGTGACCATTACATGCAGATAACAAAGCTCAGATAAACATCACATATTGAAGTATTTTAGGTCTCAGTTTTTTGTTACTTTCCACGCAAGCACACACACAAAAAAGGCCATCAAGCCCCCACAGGAGGGTGTGGTGGCCAACTTGGTGGGCCGAGGGGGATATTGAGTCCACAGTGATGATGATGTCAGAGGGTTTGCACCACTTTGTCCTTCACTGGCCACCTGGGATGGTGTCAGCAAGACAGCTTTACTAGAGAGCTTTAGGCTACTGGGTCAAAGCCAATTACTGTGGCCATTATATGCTTTGAAAAAAACAGAAATAAGCCTGAAGTTTTGTCTCTGCTTCAAAGACTTTTCTGGAAACCAAATTAGAAATGGTTGATGATTTTCATAACAAAGTTATAAATCCTTTTTTGTGAATTTTCAGACACAAAACAATCAAAGCTGTAAAGCAATGTGAGGAGACAGAATTTCCTCTTTCTGAAACCATCTGTTGAAGTGAACGCTTGCCATCGACAGGAAGTACTTGCATTCCCTCTGAGTTTATTATCGGTCAGAGCAGCCACAGTGAAAGGCAGAGACACCCTGAGATGGGCCTCGACTTCAACAACAGCAAGGCTGAGGAAGTTAACTGCTTATGTCTATAGAAGTGCTATCCATCAGCTTGGGTTTTAATGAGGCAAGCCACTTCATGCACTTACGATAAAGCCAGTGGCCCAGAGCCCTGCTCAACAATTCATAATCCTCTTTAAGCTCTGAGTGTCACGAGTAGCCTTGCAGGCCCCTGGTATACCTCAGACGGACAGACCTCAGAAATACATCACTGCAATGCAAACCTTTTCTGTTTAGGAGCAACTGATCATT